CCGTAAGTCGTCTTTTAGGACATGCATAGCCTCCTTTTACGGTAAGCATGGGTTGCTGAAGACCTATTCTAACTCGGATCATCACGGGTCTGATTTTCAGTGCTCCATTCCTATTATTTTCACCGCTATATTGCCAATTACGCCAATGGAAGCTCTTTCGTTGGTGTGGTTAATCTCTGGTGATGACGTTCATATTCAGTTCTAACACGACGTGTCATCGTAATGTTGGAAGGTGATGCAGATCACAAACGTTCAACACCTTGGTACAGTATCTGCGCCAGGCCATGGGGCCGACAGACCAAGGATCATAATCGGGGCAAATCTGGGATTCAAACTCAAAACAAGCGGATCCTGACGACTTAAAGTATATGAAATACAATTAGATTAAATGTACTTAGTTAGATCGCTGTCGGCAATTATTTTATTTCTGACACAGTGTTTTTCATTTTGAGGATCAAATATTAACGTCATCAAGCGTCACATTTTATACACGACCGTTGAAGCTGGGAAAACGTAAAAAATGGGAGCTCATTATATGAGCCAATACTTGATGAAGCGCATGATCTAACTACACAAAACATCACAAAAATAGAAATAGGCGTCACGTATGGATATTTCTTATGATACATAATTAATATGACAAATGGGAAGAAATGAATTTTGTAGTGTGATCTTGAAAGATATCGTGTTGTTTGAGTTAAAGAAATAGTGATCGGTATATAGATTGTGCTTATCTTCAAAAATGCAGCCAATGCGTTAGTTGTGAAAGTGTATTGAACTGAATAAATATTTGTCCCGCTATACACGTTCTGATCCTGCTGTCACCATGAAAGCGATATTTTCGAGTGGCGTAATGAGGTAACAGAGTCAATATCATCATTAAGAAGCTACTTTCAATCAGACCATTCAACTAAGGAGTCTATAAGAGGCACCATCAGAGGACAATCAACAAGCAGCATGTCACTGTCAATGCCTCGCCCAGCAGGTATATACTCTCCTATTATGTAATTTACAGTGTAGCTTTCACTTCCAACTATTACGAGCCAAGGCTGTATACATGATTTGCTTTTTCTATTGATTTGTCCATACCATGTCAATAACGTTAGGGTGTTGGTGTCTCCGTGTTAAATCCGACTGGATGGCATGAAGCGTTTCACATGTATTGTTACGAGGCTGTGCCTACTATTCTTTGGGACTTAAAGTGGAAACAAGGTAGTGATTTTACTTGATGGCACAATACTGCCTGGTGGGAAGCAAGAGAAACTACTCTTCGAATGGACGTCCTGGACCTTCACAGAAGGAATTATCCTGTTCAGTTGAAAAGTCACTTTGTATTTTTATTCAATCTGAGGCTTTGGCTGGAGTGGCGCTGTGAATAGGATTGACGGCTGGGAGTCAAATAGAAGAGGGTGTACATGATGGCCGAGAGGGATTTAGGGTAATGGAATGGGATTGTCGTGTGATGGTATCTTTGGGATTCAGTGTGAAATGGCAGTGTGGAGTGGTACTATTGTATATGCTGTTTTGTGTATTGTTGTGTTTATTAGGTCGTATTACTGTATTGTTGACGTGTGAGTATGTATGTTTTGGACGAAGGGGTTGAACGGTACACCGAAACCCTGTTAATCCGGACCGTAGCTGTAATCGTTCGGATTAACAGATAACGAATTATGGTTGCGGAGTAATGTCCTTTTGTTACATGGCAATAAAAGCTTCAAATCCCTTTGCATTTTCATAAGAAGCCTTTCATAGGCCTTCCCAGCAGTGTCTGTCCGGAATATGGGGGTTCCGGAATAACAGGGTCCAGATTATCAAGGTTTTACTGTATAAAGGTTTATTAATGTGTGGTCACAAATGGAAAGTACAGTTATTTAGTGAGGTAACGCCTCACAACTGCTTCTGAAAAGCCAAAGACGTATATAGATATACAACTAAACTCCCAACCCCAATAAAGAACTAATATAAAATTCGACCTTTAGTGTTGCTTAACCAAAAGTCATCGACGGTTTTCCATTGTCGTTAAGTTGACGATATAACGATCGCTTCAAATGATTCCGATTTCGCATTCGGCATGGTTGTAAGTGACAACCACTAGACATATGGTAAAGAGTTACGCTATGTTGGGCTCAAAGACCTTTTCGCTCCTCTACCCATTACAACGGCATAACGTCAAAATGCCACAACGTTAAACTACCACAAGGTAACAACCTTATCATTTTCGTCGTAGGAAGTTGCAAGAAGGTAACTACTTAACGTGCAATGCAGCTGAACGCGAATTCGTAGCCTATAGTTTTTTATGGTTTCATGCCACTACAAATGCCAACGCTACATCAGGGTGGGAGAGAGTAACCTTCTGTTTCCCAGTTAGCGCAAATCAAGTGTGGAACCATTCCGAGTAGACTCCAATTGGTGGCGGGGCATCTCTTCATGCATTGGAACAATCCTAAACGCTCTTCACCAAAACACACCTGCATTTCCCTAAAGCTCTGAGTTATTTGTATAGCTTTTAACCAACGTCATATGTCAAGGGAACAAAACGTTTATGTTTCTGCTACGTTTTTCTTCACAACTGAGTTGATTGGCGTATGTCCTGCTGCTGGATGGAGGTCCCTAGCATGAGACGCATCGTGCGCAATCCCCCTCCAAACCCCCCGGAAGGCCAATGCCCCTTTCATAAATAAATCCTGATTGGTGCGTGTGCGCGGATCAACACCACCAGAAGGCATGACGTAGTATGTGCGGCCACCTGGCGGCGGCTAAAGACGTGTTCTTGTAGAAGCAGCTCGCGTTGTTCTTCTTGCATCGTGAGGAAATAATCAAAACTACAATCTAAATAAATTGTCCATGTTTTTGCTAAATTTTTAGTTTATTTCATGTACTGCAGGAAGCGTCTTACAACGGATGATACATATGTTCGCATGTGTTCGACATATAGACAACTGAAATTAGGAGCTCTAAGTTCTATCATGATCTCGTTGGTCACTGAAGGAATGTTAAATCTGCCATAAAGGTGTCATGGCGATAGTAAGCTCATGTAACAAAGGTAAATATTCTAGGAAACATCATCAAATCCTATTTATCTGTGTTTTTCCTCGTTTCCTGCAGGTGGGTGACATAATGCATATTCTCTGCATGTATCTTAAAGGGGGCTATGTCTCGCGGTCTAAAGTACAGTTCCAGCCAAAGTCAAGGTCTTGAAATTAGTGTCTTGTTCATCATGGTCACAACCTTCAAGGCCTCGGCTAAGATTTCAAAATGTTTTAGGGTAGACATTTCAAAATTTGACGCATTGTTGACAATAAATGATGTCCAATGCAATTCCCTATTTTTTACTTGTATCACATAATCCTGTGTTTTTTAGGTGAGCAATTTGTTTGCTTTTGCATGCGTTGTTTGTTTGTTGTTAAACGCCGCTTTCAGCAATATCCAAGCTATATGACAGCGGTCTGTAAATAATCGAGTCTGGACCAGCAATCCAGTGATGGACATCACGAGCATCGATCCAAGCAATTGGGATACGATGACATGCATCAACCAAGTTAGAGAGCCTGACCACCCGATCCCGTTAGTCGCCTCTTACGACAAGCATAGTCGCCTTTTACGGCTAGCATGGGTTGGTGAAGATCTATTCTTCCCCGGATCTTCACGCGTCGCATGCGTTTGTGACGGGTGGGACACCCTTTTCGCGAGAACCCTGTATAATCACTTATTGAGGGTTATTGATAAGGACATGCTCATCATATAGTCGGAATCGTACAATCGACTCTGATGTTAGATGTCTTATGAATATGGAAAGGGTTTTGTGGCTTTCATTTATTTATGTGGAACTGAATTTATGTAATTAGAGTAATTAAATATTCGTCATAAGAACTGAAGTTGTTGAAAAACAAGGTAGTGTTGGAATCCGATGGGCTGGGACGATCAGTTTGCCGGAGTCTTGTCCATCTTTTACTGCATTTAAACTTACATAATGTAAAACATTCAAGACTAAAGAATTTTCGGTGATCGGGTCACTTTAATTTTAATGAAATAAAGACACTATCCCTCATAGTCGGGAACCTAATACTATTGTTATTTCTGGTCATTATCAAACATTTCCGATTCAGATGTTGGCCTCACGTAATTGCAGCTATTGAAACGATCAAAAACCATTAATCCCAGCTGTCCCATTAACTAAAGAAACGTCTCGTTGTTGACCGATATCCTGATTGGGTCGTCTGGCTTGCAGCTTAGGAGCAGACGACATTGAGGACGGTGATTATCTCCCGTCAGAGACAGAACACCAGGTGTCAGACATCCTCAACAGTTGCCCATAGTTCCAGCTGAGTTGGAAGACTTCAGCCGTTGAGACGTCGCCCAATTTGCCGCGAAGATGATGTGCAGCTTTGAAAGTCGAGGCTTGGACAAAAAGCCACGGGACACAAATTAGATCAAACAAAATAACAAAGTTTTTACCATATATATTCTTTTTAATGTTAATACTATCTCTTTTATGCATAATACTCCAAAGGTTCGCTGTTATTTATAATATATCAGTTGGGGGCTAAACAATCAGTGATGCTGTGTTTGGCAGCGTCTTCTGTTTTGAGGATACATCAATATATCTTAGTACAAAACACCCTCCTTGGATGTTGTACCTAGATGTCCAGACCCGTGAAGATCCGGGGTAGAATGGGTCTTCAGCAACCCATGCTTGCTGTACAGGGCGACTATGCTTGTCGTAAGAGGCGGGATCGGGTGGTCAGGCTTGGTTGATGCATGTCATCGATCCCAATTGCGTGGATCGATGCTCATAATGTCAATCACTGGATTGTCTGGTCCAGACTCCATTATGTTACAGACCGCCGTCATATAGCTGGAATATTGCTGAGGGCGGCGTTTAACAACAAACAAACAAACAAACCTAGATGGCCGATGATAATGGAAATTTGCTAAGCAAAATTAAGCGCAGTTCGAAAAAAAGTAATGTGGTTCTACAATTGCAAGTGTGATAAAGTGTAATGTCTCCAGATAAGCAGAAGTCCCATCACACCGTTGCTGGTCGTGAGAGGTGACATGTTGAGATCGGGTGGTCAGGCGCTGTGACTTGGCTCATTGAGAGTAGCCGTACCCATATGTTCAGTCAGAAGATTGCCTCGATTATTTACAGGCCATCGTAGTATAGCTGGAATATTGCTGACTACGGCCTTAAACAACACTCATCCAATCTTTGCTATTACTGCACTCTATAAACAGGAGAAGTATAAACACGAACACTACATTGTACATGGACACGTTAATGGTGGCAGCAGCTTGACTCCTGGCAGTTTCTTGGGCTTTAGTCCTGCCCCACACTGAAGCACACGTTACACATGCGGTGTCACCTAGGGCAAGTGACTTGATTCGAAATGTGCCTGAATGGGTTCGCGGAAGATAAGATGGTAATGTGACTCGAAACCTTCTAGCACCGCAGGTAGCGGAGAACGAAAATCGAGTGCACACTGATCCATTGACCGGGGTAATAATAAATGAAAAGCACCCGAGAGCTGGATGGATGGATGGATGGATGAATGAATGATATTATTTGCAGATTAAAATAAATAAATGCAGCAAAGAGAGTTTGGGTGATCCCAGCACAGTCAGGCTGGTTAGGCTCATCATCAGCTCAGGGTCCTTTCCCACTCTACACACAGCCCAGACAGCGAATGACTCCTCCAATGAAGCGCAGCCTAATTGAATCCAACGAGAACTTTACGAAGAATGTGAAGACTCCCAAACAAGGCAGTCTTCTGCATTACCCAGATTGTCGGGCTGTATTCCTGGCAGCAAACCCGGGTACTTTCTCAATGTCAGACAAAGGATTGGCAGGTACCTAAAGGCAACGAAAACTTGCTACTTTGGATGCAAGCGGGAAATTTCGAAAGCAAGGTCCGCATTTTGTCCATGTTTTTCCTGAGTCTTGTGAATCTTACATTGACAGTTTCGATCGGGAAATGACTGGGCCTGAGCAGCAAACAGAAAGCCTTCTGTTTCACTTTTGAGGCCAGCCGACTTCATCCAAGCGAGGGACTCTGCAGGGTTGCTTACCTTCTCAGCACACTACACTTAAACTTGATGCAGTGGTCGTTCAGATAGCCTCTCCCTGTAGAAAATAGTCTTGCCAATTTGAAATGGCTGGTTGACAATCATTTCCGTACCATCCAGTTGTACAGAACATCAACAAAATCTGAAATGATTCTTCTTGTCAGGTTGTCAATACCCTGAATATTTTGTTTCGTCCAATCAACACCAAAAGAATATGACAGGACGGATACAACATAAGTATTTGTGGCTTTGACTTTATTGAGAATTCATTTCTGAACTCCAGGTTTTCCTAAGTCTACATTTGTACTCTGCCCGAAGTTTTTCCTTGACAAAGGCATTTTGGACTTTCGACCTAATTATAAACTGCGTATAGGCCTGACCTTCCAGGAGATGGTCAATAACTCCTCATCAAAGTAAACTGACTGATCCTCCCTCTTCTACCTTGCCACATGTCGGATGGAGAATGTTGCATTTATTATTATTGTGATATTCCTTCTCGCAGCTCTGTTGCATGGTATCAGAAGCAGAATCCATTATCAGACGTGTTGTGTGTTATGAATGCTTTTACCAAGAGATATGCTGGCTTTGGAATGTATTTTAGAGAAAAACTCTGGTGTCAGTCGAAACATTCATATGGAGTTGCAATATGCTATTTGTGTCTATTCAGTGGTAATAGTAACAGGGGAATTTGGCGTCTTCAACACCGAACATTATTTGATTCCGTAATTCTATCATCTGGGTTCCACACGCGAAACGAATGACTGTTCAACATTCTCGTCAGTTCTTGTCCTTCATGGTCAGGACAAATGTAATAAACCTTTGATGAAAAACATTGCAACATTAAACATTGTAAACACTATTTTTAACAAGGAATTTCTTTTAATCTAGAAGTGAAAGCAGTGTATTGAAACAATGTAATAACAATTGGAAAACACTTAAACAAATTAATGAAACAAATTATACAACAATTCATTAACAAAAAAACAACTAAACTACAATTCGAATGAAACAAATGAAAACATTGTAAGCAAACAACTAAAAAATATATTACAATAATGTAACAATCCAAATGTAATCATTACAGCTGTATAATTAAAACAATAAACTAACAATAAAACAACTATGCCATTATAATAACAATAGGAATGTAATAATGATACAAACGTACTGAAACAACCAAATCATAAGAAACAACACAGCAACTATATATATATATATAATGACAAATGAAGAATTCTGATGTAACAACGGAAAAAAATAAAGCACAAAATAAATTTCAGAGACAACGAATTAACTCTTTCTATTGCGTGCCAGAAACCTTTGATCATTCGTTCGAATCCCGGTTCGCCTTGATTATGTTGCTAGGTTTGTCAGCACCATCCCCGTGCTCGTGGGTTTCATTACAGAGATCTGCATCACTTTGGGCTTCCTCCCACCAGCTGACGCGTCGTGATATAGCTGGAATTCCGTTCAAAGTGGGGTTAAACCCAACTCACTCACTCACTCACTCACTCACTCACTCACTCACTCACTCACTCACTCACTCATTCATTCACTATAGGGCATCTTGTAAGGGAACACAGCTGAACACTGTCTCACTCTCACTTTCACGGACCGCCGTCGTTGTCCAGTGGATAGAGCGTCTAGTTGTTACCCTGCCTGGCGCTCGGCTTTAAGGGGCTAAAACAAGGACCAGAACAAGCAGACAGACAGACAGACAGACACACACACACACACACACACACACACACACACACACACACACACACACACACACACACACACACACACACACACACACACACACACACACACACACACACACACACACTCAAACACACACTCAAACACACACACACGCCGCTATATAAGTGCAATAATCTTGAACGCGACGTTGAATCCCATTTATCTCACCTCATCTCTGTTCTACAAACACACATCACAGGAATAGTTTTCAACGATTCTCGGATCATGTGAATCATGTGTTTTTATTTGAAACCAATAGCATAAATCATCATCACACCAACAAAGTGGGACATTCACTCCGCGGGAGCTCGCTGATTGATTGCAAGGCACCCCTCCCGTCTCCTCCCCCTCTAAAGTCTCGCCATGATATATATACAGGCATGTATATACACTAAGTACATCTCAGACAGATCACTTTCCTTGATGTAACGAAACTACGCCACATCTAACCGCGGATCCTTTTTGATACATCGCTGAAGCATGTCCAATCCATGAAATATGTACATTCCCTGTTCGTTTTAAGTGTCAGTGGGCTTTTGAGTAAACCATCGTGTAAGTAGGGGAGACTACTGTGCTATTACTACAAAGGGCGGGAGAAGAAACACGACACCGACACTTAGCCTTTACTAATCTCACTTGCCAAATTACCCGTGTTTCTAGATCCCAAATCTCACAGAAGCTCTTTTCATCATGCCAAATTTAACGGCATTTCGCTGCAGATGAGTTTGTAGACATTGGTCCTATATCCGTCTGCAAGCCTGATCGGTCAACAGTAAGTCCGACAACAATTCAGTGGCTTCAATTTCTTTGCTGTTTCTTATTATGTAAGCGAAGATTTGTGTTAAAGTTACTTATATAATGTAGGATTTATGTTACTGTCTTCGTGTTCGATTATATACATCGATTTTTACAGCTTAATTCAAAATACCGAATCTCTTTATTTTGAGGATGTTGCCCTCTGGGAAATTATCTGTCGGGACAAAAAACTAATCAGAAAGGGTAATGTTGTATGGAAATCCCGAGATACTGAGAGTTATAATAATATTGTATAATATACTGAACCGCAAAAGAAACGTCACCCCAAGTAACATTGCACGAACAGTTGTCATTTAAATATCTGGTAAAATTTCGTCAAAGTTTCTAAAATTTAACATTACCTTGTCCGGAAAAAAAATGAAATTTTATGAAAAAAAACCTGAAGCAGATGACAATAAAACCGATCGCCCAAACGCATCACGTCAATGGCCATGGTAATCTCCATGTGCAGGATCTCCATCATCCGAGTATAGGATTTCCATCATTCTGGTATAGGATCTCCATCATCCCATTATAGGATCTCCACCATCCCAGTGCAGGATCTCCATCATCCCAGTATAGAATCTCCATCATCCCATTGCAGAATCTCCATCATCCCAGTATAGGATCTCCATCATTTTAGTACAGGATCTCAATCATCCAAGTACAAGATCTCCACCATCCTAGTACAGGATATCCACAATCCCAGTGCAGGATCTCCATCATCCTAGTATAGGATCTCCATCATCCCAGCGCAGGATCTCCATCATCCCAGTGCAGGATCTCCATCATCCCAGTGCAGGATCTCCATCATCCCAGTGCAGGATCTCCATCATCCTAGTATATGATCTCCATCGTCCTAGTAAAGGATCTTCATTATCCCAGAAAAGGATCTCCATTATCCCATTGCAGGATCTCCATCATCCCAGTGCAGGATCTCCATCATCCCATTGCAGGATCTCCATCATCCTGGTATGGATTTCCATCATCCCATTGCAGGATCTCCATCATCCTAGTATAGGATCTTCATGATCCCAGTATAGGATTTCCATCATCCCAGTGCAGTATCTCCATCATCCCAGTACAGGATCTCCATCATCCTAGTATAGGATCTCCATCATCCTGGTATAGGATCTTCATGATCCCAGTACAGGATCTCCATCATCCCATTGCAGGATCTCCATAATCCCATTGCAGGATCTCCATCATCCCAGTGTAGGATCTCCATCATCCCAGTGCAGGATCTCCATCATCCCAGTGCAGGATCTCCATCATCCTAGTATAGGATCTCCATAATCCCAGTATAGGATCTCCATCATTCTAGTACAAGATCTCCATCATCCCAGTGCAGGATCTCCATCATCCCAGTTCAGGATCTCCATCATCCAAGTACAGGATCTCCATCATCCTAGTATAGGATCTCCATCATCCTAGTGCAGGATCTCCATCATCCCAGTATAGGATCTCCATCATCCTAGTACAGGATCTCCATCATCCCATTGCAGGATCTCCATCATCCCAGTGCAGGATCTCCATCATCCTAGTATAGGATTTCCATCATCCTAGTACAGGATCTCCATCATCCCAGTGCAGGATCTCCATCATCCCAGTGCAGGATCTCCATCATCCTAGTATAGGATCTCCATCATATTAGTATAGGATTTCCTTCATCCCAGTGTAGGATCTCCATCATCCCAGTGCAGGATCTCCATCATCCTAGTATAGGATCTTCATTATCCCAGTACAGGATCTCCATCATCCCAGTGCAGGATCTCCATCATCCCGGTGCAGGATCTTCATCATCCTAGTATAGGATCTCCATCATATTAGTATAGGATTTCCATCATCCCAGTACAGGATCTCCATCATCCTAGTATAGGATCTTCATTATCCCAGTACAGGATCTCCATCATCCCAGTGCAGGATCTCCATCATCCTAGTATAGGATCTCCATCATATTAGTATAGGATTTCCATCATCCCAGTGCAGGATCTCCATCATCCCATTGCAGGATCTCCATCATCCCATTGCAGGATTTCCATCATCCCAGTGCAGGATCTCCATCATCCCATTGCAGGATCTCCATCATCCCAGTGTAGGATCTCCATCATCCCAGTGCAGGATCTCCATCATCCTAGTATAGGATCTTCATGATCCCAGTACAGGATCTCCATCATCCCAGTGCAGGATCTCCATCATCCCATTGCAGGATCCCCATCATCCTAGTATAGGATCTTCATTATCCTAGTATAGGATCTTCATTATCCCAGTACAGGATATCAATCATCCCAGTATCCGTCAGTTCGTTATAAGCGTGTTCGTTATAACAGTAGTTTACTGTATGCCAAATAAATATATAATCCTTGTTCGTAATGGGAATCAACATACTCTCATCATTGAGCATCACATCAATGGGAAATACACTCGGGACGCATCACACAGCATTTACATAATGTTATTGTCACAGTATTATTGTGAAAGTATATGTAAGGCACTCTCTGTAGGAACATGATGCTCCTACTCTAGTCATGAAGGTGATTAATGGTGCAGGGTCCAAGTGCTATTGCCGTGAATGTTTAACGAGGATGTTCCTGACATAACAACAAGCTAACCCTACAAACAGTCGGTGGTAGATCTTAATGTGCATGAGACACGCTGTGAGGAAATGAATGGTCACGAATGGCTAAAATTAGGGGTATTTGCGGTACAGATATCGGACGCAGAACCGATGGATATACACAGTACACTTGTAAACTGGCCTTATTGCATTATGTCCACGATTATGCATCCCTCAGCTCTAAGACACACTCCCGATCAATAGTCATAACTACAAGTTGTTACAAGATGAAGCTGGGGGCTGGAACGCCCGCTGAACACATATTGTGAGTGTGTTGTCGTAAATCTGTTTGTTGAGAATCTATCAACTGAAATGGGATTGTTACAGATGAAACGACTGTAAAAGTTTATATCGCGTTGTGGGGCGGAGAGTTCAAGCAAACTTTTCATACCTGAAGTTTTCATTGCAGTCATTCAACTGCCTTTTGATATTGGAAATGAAATAACCCTGCGCTGCTTTTGACATCGGGGCGTTTGAACATATTTGTATGAACTCGTAAATGTTTGGGAGAAAAAAAATGAATGAAAACCAATTTGAAAATAACACTTCCAGTTGCAGCGATTTATTTCTCCGCTAGAGAGTTGCTTTATGTATACAGGGTGGACGTGGCGGGTCTTTGAGAGACAGCGTGATGACTTTGGGAGATGATGTAGGGGTGATATCGGATGAACGGGGTGGACGTAGGATGGGGTAGGGGTTGGTGGGGGGAAAGGCCAGGTCTGATCTTTGATATTTTTCTGAAGAAAGTACAGCAAGAGCGAACAGGGACGATTGATTGGACTATTGACTATGAGCATTTAGAATCGTGACATATATGTACTGAATGCTGTTACTATAGACGCTCTTGATCCGGACACGGAGCTCTGTCACTCTCGACCTTGTTGTACTGACTCCCGTCACTCAAAAGCCTGTCACTCTGGACCCTGTCAGTCTAGACCCTGTCTCTCAGGACCATGTTTCTCTGTCCCTGACGCTGTCACTCTAGAACATTTAACTCTGGACCCTGTCACTCTAGAACATTTAACCCTGGACCCTGTCACTCTAGACCCTGTCACTCTGGACCCTGTCACTCCTGGACCCTGTCACCCTGGACCCTGTCACTTTAGAACCTGTCACTCTAGACCCTGTCCCTCTAGCTCATTTAACTCTGGACCCTGTCACTCTAGACCCTGTCCCTCTAGCTCATATAACTCTGGACCCTGTCACTCTAGACCCTGTCACTCTAGACCCTGTCACTCTAGCTCATTTAACTCTGGACCCTGTCACTCTAGACCCTGTCACTCTAGACCCTGTCACTCTAGCTCATTTAACTCTGGACCCTGTCACTCTAGACCCTGTCACCCTGGACCCTGTCACTTTAGACCCTGTCACTCTAGACCCTGTCCCTCTAGCTCATTTAACTCTGGACCCTGTCACTCTAGACCCTGTCACTCTAGCTCATTTAACCCTGGACCCTGTCACTCTGGATCCTGTTACTCTAGAACATTTAACTCTGGACCCTGTCACTCTAGACCCTGTCCCTCTAGCTCATTTAACTCTGGACCCTGTCACTCTAGCTCATTTAACTCTGGACCCTGTCACTCTAGACCCTGTCACTCTAGACCCTGTCACTCTAGACCCTGTCACTCAAGCTCATTTAACTCTGGACCCTGTCACTCTAGACCCTGTCACTCAAGCTCATTTAACTCTGGACCCTGTCACTCTAGACCCTGTCACTCTGGACCCTGTCACTCCTGGGCCCTGTCACTCTAGGTCCTGTTACTCTGGACCCTGTCACTCTAGAACTTTTATCTCTGGACCCTGTCACTCTAGAACATTTATCTCTGGACCATGTTACTCTAGACCCTGTCTCTCTAGACCCTGTTACTCCAGAACATTTAACTCTGGACCCTGTCACTCTGGACCCCGTCACTCCAGACCCTGTCACTCTGATCCTTTCACTCTTATCCTGTCTCACTGGACCATGTTTCTCTGACCCTGTCATTCTAGACTCTGTCACTATAGAACATTTCACCCTGGACCCTGTCACTCTAGACCCTGTCACTCTGGACCCTGTCACTCCTGGACCCTGTCACCCTGGACCCTGTCACTTTAGAACCTGTCACTCTAGACCCTGTCCCTCTAGCTCATTTAACTCTGGACCCTGTCACTCTAGACCCTGTCCCTCTAGCTCATATAACTCTGGACCCTGTCACTCTAGACCCTGTCACTCTAGACCCTGTCACTCTAGACCCTGTCACTCTAGCTCATTTAACTCTGGACCCTGTCACTCTAGACCCTGTCACTCTAGACCCTGTCACTCTAGCTCATTTAACTCTGGACCCTGTCACTCTAGACCCTGTCACTCTAGACCCTGTCACTCTAGACCCTGTCACTCTAGCTCATTTAACTCTGGACCCTGTCACTCTAGACCCTGTCACCCTGGACCCTGGACCCTGTCACTTTAGACCCTGTCACTCTAGACCCTGTCCCTCTAGCTCATTTAACTCTGGACCCTGTCACTCTAGACCCTGTCACTCTAGCTCATTTAACCCTGGACCCTGTCACTCTGGATCCTGTTACTCTAGAACATTTAACTCTGGATCCTGTCACTCTAGACCCTGTCCCTCTAGCTCATTTAACTCTGGACCCTGTCACTCTAGCTCATTTAACTCTGGACCCTGTCACTCTAGACCCTGTCACTCTAGACCCTGTCACTCTAGACCCTGTCACTCAAGCTCATTTAACTCTGGACCCTGTCACTCTAGACCCTGTCACTCAAGCTCATTTAACTCTGGACCCTGTCACTCTAGACCCTGTCACTCTGGACCCTGTCACTCCTGGGCCCTGTCACTCTGGGTCCTGTTACTCTGGACCCTGTCACTCTAGAACTTTTATCTCTGGACCCTGTCACTCTAGAACATTTATCTCTGGACCATGTTACTCTAGACCCTGTCTCTCTAGACCCTGTTACTCCAGAACATTTAACTCTGGACCCTGTCACTCTAGAACTTTTATCTCTGGACCCTGTCACTCTGGATCCTGTTACTCTAGAACATTTAACTCTGGACCCTGTCACTCTGGACCCTGTTACTCTAGAACATTTAACTCTCGACCCTGTCACTCTAGATCCTGTTACTCTAGAACATTTAACTCTGGGCCCTGTCACTCTGGACCCTGTCACTCTAGAACATTTAACTCTGGACCCTGTCACTCTGGATCCTGTCACTCTAGCTCATTTCACTGTGGACCATGTCACTCAAGACCATGATTTTATGTCCCCGTCACTCTGGACCCTGTCACTCCAGAACATTTAACTCTGGACCCTGTCACTCTGGACCCCGTCACTCCAGACCCTGTCACTCTGATCCTTTCACTCTTATCCTGTCTCACTGGACCATGTTTCTCTGACCCTGTCATTCTAGACTCTGTCACTTTAGAACATTTCACTCTAGATCATTTCACTTTGACCCTGTCACTCTGGCCCTTTAACCCCAGACCCTGTCACTCTGATCCTGTCACTCTGATCCTGTCACTGTAGACTCTGTCTACATTACAGATGTAGATATTATTACTACTCTTTACGAATTCCATTTCTCATATACAGTACAGCATAGTCATTGTACGGTATACATATGTAAATATATTCTATACGACAGTTTATTAAGAGCGTATTGCTGAGCCAGCTGTGCCTTCTACGAACCTCCCGGCCCTAGCAATGTGACTGCCAAGCCGTCTCAAGACCGCAACAACCTAGGAAGTGAATGCTGTACAACGGGGAACTATGATATATTTACTATGATAACAATTATTGTCGCCTATTTACATATGCCTCACTTTGCACGCTGTATACGTACTGTAGCCATGCTATTCTCCCGAGGACAAGTGAGAGTCAGCACAATACCTGCCCTCACTGATCTTAGAATGCCTCTTTGCGCTATGACCAGTGACAAAAGACCTGTCGGTCGGCTACTATCTCCCTACCACTACTTTACAATACAGACCAGTGTAGACGACCCTGACACGGATGAGTATTTTAAATCGCTGTTATCATTGTAAGGATGTAGAGGATTGGGGACACAGATAGTGATGGCCCAGCGCACTCTGAGTCGGTAGTGACAGATTGATTTACCACATGTTGCCTTAGGTTGCCTTGCATATTAGAGTGTCATCGGCGAATCAACTATAGCTGACCACTCGAGTAATTCGAGGCTGTGGAGTAGCTTAGTGGTTAAAGTGTTCGCTCATCACGCCGAAGATGCGGGTTTGATTTCCAACATACAATGTGTGAAAAACATTCCTGGCGTCCTCAGCCGTGATATTGCTGAAATATTGCAAAAATCGTCGTAAAACAATACTCACTCACTCACTAATATGGTAATTCACACACGTGGGGGTTCCTAGTAAGAGTAAGGACACGGAGGGCACGGGTGGCCCAGTCGTCTTCGGCTCTGCAAATCGTTATGCAGAGCTGCGTCTCTTGGGCACGCAATAAACCTATGATTGTGGATTCGAATCCCGGTTCGCCCCTGTTATGTTTAAAAGTTTGTCGGCACCATACCCCTGCTCGTGGGTTTCAGCAAAGTGGTAAACTTCTTAGACCTACATCACTTCGGGCTTTCCTCCCACATGAAGCTGACACGCCGTGATATAACTGGAATACTGTTCAAAGCGGCGTTAAACCCAACTCACTCACTAACTCACTGCTGATAAGCATGGGCTATCAGTAAGAGGATCGGGTGGACTCTCTTGATCGTGTGTCATCCTACATCGACTGGAACTTAAGCTGTTTCAGTAACAGGTTTAATTACAAATCACCCGAGCACTTCTGAGATAGATTTGGTGTCCAGACACATGCTGGAAGTTATAGGTGACTAAATGAAGCAGGGGGTCAGACTCGGTGACTTGGATGATTGCGTGTCACCGTATCCTGACGGCGTGGGGCGATGCTCATCATATCAGTCACTGGTTGATCTGTCTCAAAATATTTCCAGGCTGTCGTGATATAGCTGGAATATTGATGACAGGCAAAACTACACACCAAACCAACTTATCACAAACATTGTTTATCTGAACCAGTGACCTTAACCGTGATATACCAATGCTTTCAGTAATTTCGTATGAACATTAACTACATTCTCAGGAAATATATCTTCCTCTCATTATTGCGTAAACTGTCTGTCAAATGTCCTCCATTTCAGTTTTGGTTTGAATAAAACTTAAACTGAATAACGAATAAAAAATCGGGAATTTTAAGAACGTCTTAACCTCATGTGACATGTTATCAGCACTTGTTTTAAAAAAAAAAAAATGTATGTGCTTCCTATTCAATTACCCATAAGGCCATATTTCAATTCTATACAAATCCGACCCGTGAAGATTCCGGGTTAGAATAGGTCTTCAGCAACCCATACTTGCCGTAAAAGGCGACTATGCTTGTCATAAAAGGCGACTAACGGGATCGGGTGGTCAGGCTCGCTGACTTGGTTGATACATGCCATCGATCCCAATTGCGTGGACCGATGCTCATGATGTCAATTACTGGATTGTCTGGTCCAGACTCGATTATTTTACAGACCGCCGTCATATAGCTGGAATATTGCTGAGTGCGGCGTTAGACAACAAACAAACAAACAAACATACAAATCCCACAGACTGTTACAAACAGAATAGAATAGAGTGGCATGACACCCACCCACGTTATAATCCCTACATGACTCGGGACTAATCAACCAGCAAACGCTATAAACAGACCAGAACGATGACAACAAACGCCTAATCATGAATAAATAAATAATTTTTGGTTGACGAAATGGTTCAACGACACTGGTAACAGATGCAGCGTATGTCATGCATCATCATAACATGCTGTTGTTGTGTTGTTGACGCATGGACTTCTAAAGTTAATGAGGTTTTGTATTATTGATAGGCACGTACACGTTGTGTGAAAACCATGGTTACACAAAGTTGGCTGTGAGGAAGGCCATGCTCATCTATACCCACGTTATAATAATCATAATCATAATCATAATCATAATAATGATGATGATGATGATAATTATAATATTAATAATGATAATAATGATAATAATTTATGCATTTGTATGGCGCAGCATTCACTGTGCATATGTGTTCTGTGCGCTACAATGAAACTTATAGTCAGTGGGAGTATTTTTATCATGAAATGCGTGTTCGATTCCCCACATGGGTACGATGTGTAAAGCTCATTTCTGGTGTCCCCCGCCGTGTTATTGCTGGAATATTGCTAAATGCGGCGTAAAACCATACTCCCTCACTTAGCTGTATTAACACGTCTTCAGAGGCTTGGATGTGATGGATAGTCACTGTAACGACAGGTAGACACCGCGTACTTCGGAATCACTGTAACGACAGCTAGACACCGGGTACTGGGGTCACTGTAACGAAAGACAAACGTCGGTTACTGGAGTCATGGTAACGACAGGTAGACACCGGGTACTTGGGAATCACTGTAACCACAGGTAGACATCGGGTACGTGAGTCACTTTAACGACAGGTAGACACCGGGTACTGAGGTCACTATAACGACGGGTAGAAACCGGGTACTGGGGAATCACTTTTACGACAGGTAGACACCGGGTACTGGAGTCACTGTAACGACAGGTAGACACCGGGTACTTGAGTCTCTGTATCGACAGGTAGACACCGGGTACTGGAGTCACTGTAACGACAGGTAGACACCGAGGACTAGAGTCTCTGTAACGACAGGTACACACCGGGTACTTGAGTCTCTGTAACGACAGGTAGACATCGGGTACTGGGGTCTCTTTCACGACAGGTAGACACCGGGTACTGGAGTCTCTGTAACGACAGGTAGACACCGGGTACTGGAGTCACTTTCACGACAGATAGACACCGGGTACTGGAGTCTCTGTAACGACAGGTAGACACCGGGTACTGGAGTCACTGTAACGACAGGTAGACACCGGGTACTGGAGTCACTGTAACGACAGGTAGACACCGGGTACTGGAGTCACTGTAACGATAGGTAGACATCGGATACGAGAGTGTTACTGTAACGATAGACAGACGTCGGGTCCTGGAGTCACTATAACGACAGACATACGTCCGGGACTGGAGTCATTGTAACGACAGGTAGACACCGGGTACTGGAGTCACTGTAACGACAGGTAGACACCGGGTACTGGAGTCACTGTAACGATAGGTAGACATCGGATACGAGAGTGTTACTGTAACGACAGACAGACGTCGGGTCCTGGAGTCACTATAACGACAGACATACGTCCGGGACTGGAGTCATTGTAACGACAGGTAGACACCGGGTACTGGAGTCACTGTAACGACAGGTAGACACCGGGTACTGGAGTCACTGTAACGACAGGTAGACATCGGATACGAGAGTGTTACTGTAACGACAGACAGACATCGGGTCCTGGAGTCACTATAACGACAGACATACGTCGGTGACTGGAGTCATTGTAACGACAGGTAGACACCGGGTACTGGAGTCACTGTAACGACAGGTAGACACCGGGTACTGGAGTCACTGTAACGATAGGTAGACATCGAATACGAGAGTGTAACTGTAACGACAGACAGACGTCGGGTCCTGGAGTCACTATAACGACAGACATACGTCGGGTACTAGAGTCATTATAGCGATAGGTACACACCGGGTACTGGAGTCTCTGTAACGACAGGTAGACATCGGGTACTGGAGTCACTGTAACGACAGGTAGACACCGGGCACTGGAGTCTCTGTAACGACAGGTAGACATCGGGTACTGGAGTCACTGTAGCGACAGGTAGACACCGGGTACTGGAGTCACTGTAACGACAGGTAGACACCGGGTACTGGAGTCTCTGTAACGACAGGTAGACACCGGGTACTGGAGTCTCTGTAACGACAGACAGACATCGGGTACTGCGGAGTCACTGTAACGACAGGTAGACACCGGGTACTGGAGTCTCTGTATCGACAGGTAGACACTGGGTACTGGAGTCACTGTAACGACAGGTAGACACCGGGTACTGGAGTCTCTGTATCGACAGGTAGACACCGGGTACTGGAGTCACTGTAACGACAGGTAGACACCGGGTACTGGAGTCACTGTAACGACAGGTAGACATCGGGTACTTGAGTCTCTGTAACGACAGGTAGACATTGGGTACTGGAGTCACTGTAACGATAGGTAGACATTGGGTACTGGAGTCACTGTAACGATAGGTAGACATCGAATACGAGAGTGTTACTGTACCGACAGACAGACGTCGGGTCCTGGAGTCACTATAACGACAGACATACGTCGGGTACTAG